TAAATGATTTTTTAAAATTGATTTTCTTGTTTTTCCCCGTTGAGACTGATTTTTTTTGGAGGAGGTGTAATTTTTTTCAGTGAACTATCGCTCGGATGTCTATATCACTTTTTGAACCCGTGACTCAGTGATCAGCTGCTGCTCTGGTGCGCGATTGCAGACGCCGCAAGAGGTGGTGAAGAAGCACACGGGGCTGCTGCTGTCCAAGAGGAAGCCCCGGGGCTCCGAGTACGACTACAGCCGGGTCACGGGGCGCCACATGCAGCACATGCCGCCGTCCTTCGACTGGCGCGAGAGGGGCGCCCTCACCGAGCCCAGGAACCAGGCGACCTGCGGCTGCTGCTGGGCCTTTGCCGCGGTGAGCCCGTCCTGGTCCGAGAGGGGCGGATTTAGTCGGTATCAACGTACTACACTCGCAAAGTGTGTCTAACTTTCCGGACGCCTCCCCCTGCCGCGACCCCTAGACGGCCGTCATGGAGGCCAAGAACTTCATCCGCAGCAAGACGCTCGTCGCGCTCAGCGAACAGAACCTGCTGGACTGCGACACGCTCAACGAAAAGTGCGACGGTGGGACGCCTTGGGACGCGTTCGACTGGATCCAGTCCAACGGCGGCCAGGAGGAGAACGAGAAGTACCCTTACGAAGTGATGGTGAGTGGAAGCAGTGGAACGGGATGGATTGCTCTACTACGGGCGCGGTGATTTCTCATACCAGCCTCTCTGGGCTACTGCCCGCGTAGCCCGACAAGTGCCGCCAGGACCCCAGCAGGATAGTCAAGCTCCAGGTGCGAGGGTACATGATCGTCAGGCCCGCCGTCGAGGAGAACGTCATGGGGGCCCTGCTCGCCGAGGGTCCCCTCACGATCGCCGTCAACGCCAATCCGGTCACTTTCCAGGACTACAAGGAAGGTAACATCCGAGGAGAATGTGACAGACACAGGGAACTAGAAATAAGGAAATATTTTCGGTCACTCACTTCTCTATCACCATAATTATTTCTCTCGAAACCCAAGGTACGAAAAACTAATGCCTCAGCTCGTGTAAGTAATGTCATGTATTCGATCATTGTAACCAACCAAGTTTTACTAGCTCATCACAGGCGGGAATCGAACCCCCGACGCTCGCGTGCGGAGCGAGAACGGATCCGCTCGACAACGGGGGAGACCACTCTGATCATCGGACGCGCTCAGCGTGTGCATGCGCGCCTTCGTTCCCCCACCACTCGCCGCCCAGCCGCCGGGAGCTGGGAGTGGGGGAGGAGACGGAGCGAGAGGGGCCGGGTGGCAGGCGGCACGGGGCCCCCTCAGGGGGCTCGGGGCCCGGGCTATAGTCCGGCCAGCCAAAGGTGACGCCTGGGTTTGCTGTAGCCGCCCATAAGAGCCCCTGCTACGCCAGG